ATCAGTCGAAGACGGGTTATCAGAATTTTCTTTTGAGGAATTTAAAGACATGATAGAGAGGCACAGACTCGCATCGGCGCAGTGGAGAGCCGAGTACGAACGTAGAAAGGAGAAGATTACCGAACGGATTACGGCATTAAACGAGGCAAGACGAAGGCGATTGAAAGAAGAGATGCGAAGGGGCAATACGTTGATTTCTATCCATTCTGTGACAACTGTTGGTTGGTCCAGAGCACCAACAATCACTTTTGATAAAGTCGCTGACTCAAATGGTAACAGTTACAAAACAAGCGTATGACATCGTGCTCGCAGATGGAGGACATTGAAAGAGGAAAGTGATTTCATAAATGTCGTTTGATTTTCATAGATAACTCAATAGAACAAAGGTTTATCGGTAGACAGATAACTGATGACACAAGTAATGATTTATAGAACTAAATAAATCTGTATGTAAAGCGTCTTGCAAATTATTTTTGCATTTGTTCGTGTTATCTTCATTTGACTCAGTAGTTTGTGTTCAGTTTGACATAAAAAAAAACGAAACACACGCTGATTTCGAAAAGTATTCAAACATACTTATTAGATGTCTACTACATTACGTGCATCCAGATTTTTGCTTGAGGGGGAGTGGGAGAACGAGTCGAGTTAAAATTATTATCTTGTAAGCATTAAACTCTGGAAGAGAACAGTTTTAGGCCTACTATAATCTCGTCTGATGAAAAGTAGAAAGTTATAACGTCACAAACATTACAATATCAAATACTCGTCGTGGAGAGATATGGTCTACCATGAAAGATAGGCCTACTGCACAGTTGATACAGCACTTGAAATTAAAGTAGATAAGAAATATCTGATTGCGGGCACATTGGAACATCTAACACAATTCAGAGGCTGCTTATTTTTCGAAACAGGGCCCCGTATCTCGAAAGCATCGCGCATTGCGACCGAGCGCAAGCGTCTCGATTCCGTAACTCGCCCATAGTCGCCCCATTTAATACACTGTAGCCTTTATGTGATATCGCTATTCGCAACACGCGATGCTTGCGAGTTACGTGGCCCAGGTGGGCCTTGCATATCGCTAAATGGGGGTGGGGAGAAAATATCGCCCCGCTTTGAGGGTTGTGAGGTCATTAAATAGATATGATGTTGTCTCACATTCTGGGGACACATATGGGGTCACCGTCTTGAAGTTTAGAGTAGATCGTGTTTTAACCGATTGCTCTGAAACCGTAGCTCTTACATGCACACATTGAGCGCCAGACCTTGATTGGATTATAAAAATAGATCAAGGCACACAAATATGGAGTCTATTTTAATTTACTTTTGCAATGAAAATACTCTTGCGAATTTCTTTCGTAATGATAAAAATGAGATATTCAGAATTCGTGTAATTTTGGTGATGTGGAAATTATTGCTGATATTTCCAGGAAAAATAATTCTAAAGCTATAAAAAAGTCAAAGCTTAAGGCCATTGTAGTCCTACCGGTATATTATAAGGTCTCAGGTGTGGTTTCCGGTAATCGACAAATGGGTAGCACACAACATGGCAATATCCGCATTTTCAAACACTCGATTCTTGGCGCAAATGACACTTTCCATTAAGTCATCCCCGGTGGAATAGAGACCTATTCCATCGTGACAATTCAGTGACAATGATCACGAAGAAGCCCATTGTAGTCACGTTCGAGGGTTGTACAAATGTACATGTAGCAATCGCGCTTCAATTTATTGATAATGAATTTTTAATATCTAGCATCATGTACATCTCAGTATTCTGTGTAGTATGTTGACTGTTCGAAAGCGTGCAAGTGAATTTTTCATGTAAAACACACAGTTTCGATAGATTTAATTTCTTTTTAATTATATCATTTGATTTATTACCTTTACCAGTGAGGCGGATTACCTTTTCATTGGCAATAGTCTGTTTTTTTTATGCAATTGTTTGTTAGTGAAAAAAGGAGTTAAAAACCTCACAGATTTTGATAAATTTTCAAGATTTACATGGTTATTTAGGAAAGCAAGAAATAATTACAATTTCATCTTTATCTGGATCAGGTTTAATTTTTTTTTTTTTTTTTTTTTTTTTTTTTTTTCGGGGGGGGGGGGGGGNATGATGCCACAGAGTGCCAAGACCGTAATATGCGAATTTGAAAATGTTTTGTGTGGCAATATTACTTTAAAACTTGCTTGCTATTACAATCTTTATTGTGCATAAAATGATTGCCTAACGATTTTTTACTGACAACCCCAGACGTTGTACGAATACTCAGCAGTTCAAGTACTAGTGTGATCTCGAGTCTTTACCGCGGGGTTTCTCCATCCACCAGAAGCACTCTCTTTCAAAATTCTCTTGCTTTCCTCGCTCATCCGTTTTCTCACGTCCTTCTTTCTTCCCATGACTGTGTATATATCTGTGTTCTGCTTAGCTGGCGTAAGACTTATGAGCTGCCAGGACACGCGTAACAGCTTAAGAAGTTAGACAACCATTCTTGCCCCGCCCCCCATAGTAACGGTGCTTGACAACGGAGGCGGAGCCTAAAGCCTGCCACCCGTACCAGTCAGGACAGGTAGAAAAACTCGTCCAAATGCATATTTTTAGTCCGTGTTTCACAAATATAACTTAATTGAGTATTAGATACAAAATTGATTATTTCTAACGTATAAAAAACTAAAAATCGAGTTTTAGACGTATTTTTAATATCCTAGACCCCTTAAATGCACACACTGAGCCCCAGACCTTGGTTGGATTATAAAAACAGTTCAAGGCACACGAATGTGGTGTCTATTTTTATTCACTAGTGCTACACCTTAGAAGGGAGTTGACTGGATTATAAAAATAGTTCAAGGTGCACAATTGTGGAGTCTATTTTAATTTACTTTTGCAATGAAAATACTCTAGCGAATTTCTTTCGTAATGATAAAAATGAGATATTCAGAATTCGTGTAATTTTGGTGATGTGGAAATTATTGCTGATATTTCCAGGAAAAATAATTCTAAAGCTATAAAAAAGTCAAAGGCCATTGTAGTCCTACCGGTATATTATAAGGGTGTCTCAGGTGTGATTTCCGGTAATCGACAAATGGGTAGCACACAACATGGCAATATCCGCATTTTCAAACACTCGATTCTTGGCGCAAATGACACTTTCCATTAAGTCATCCCCGGTGGAATAGAGGCCTATTCCATCGTGACAATTCAGTGACAATGATCACGAAGAAGCCCATTGTAGTCACGTTCGAGGGTTGTACAAATGTACATGTAGCAATCGCGCTTCAATTTATTGATAATGAATTTTTAATATCTAGCATCATGTACATATCAGTATTCTGTGTAGTATGTTGACTGTTTGAAAGCGTGCAAGTGAATTTTTCATGTAAAACACACAGTTTCGATAGATTTCATTTCTTTTTAATCATATCATTTGATTTATTACCTTTACCAGTGAGGCGGATTACCTTTTCATTGGCGATAGTCTGTTTTTTTATGCAATTGTTTGTTAGTGAAAAAAGGAGTTAAAAACCTCACAGATTTTGATAAATTTTCAAGATTTACATGGTTATTTAGGAAAGCAAGAAATAATTACAATTTCATCTTTATCTGGATCAGCTTTAATTTTTTTTTTTTTTTGTCTTCGGGGGTGGGGGGGGTGCGCAGTGGTATTTATACAAAGTGACAAAGTCGAAGCCACTGGTAATCCAGAGAACGTTGCTTCTATTCATGGACAAAATTCATAATTTTTTCTTGTTCCAGTCAATTCAAGGCATGAATGGGCAGAATATTATATTTGGTTTTGTGTCATGTTGCTAGCCACTCTTCGCGATAACTAGAGGTCAAATATATTGATTAAGACACCCTATCATCTATCACACAAAGCAATGTCACAGCAATGTGAGCAAGCAATAGTAGTATATCCGAGCTGGTCCTGTTGTTAAATTATTTATCTTGAATATCGATATGTTAAACAAAAACATTCTTGTGTCAGAATGCCACCTCCATTCCCAAAGATACTTTATTATAACGGGAACTTGTGGATTAAGAAAAATCCATTCAGTTTTCATTTTTGTAAGTGCTGACTTGACAGGGTTTTACATTGTTTATCGATCAACACTTCTTTCCTCACATTGAGCTAAGGTTTAATGTCAACGTGATCATTAAATTTAAAGTGTTAGCTATTTGTTGCTATAACATGCGACTTGCAATGGTTTGCACGAATTCATCATACGGCCCTCAGACGCAAGAAAACAATACCGGCAGCTTCAGATGCACAGCATTAAAAATACACATAGCAAGTAACGTTAACCAAAGCCGGATTCCTATTTAAACTACTAGTATAATGGCTTAAACTTTTAGATCGAAAAGCAGCAACGATTTTTAATATTTAACCGAGAGCATTAATATGCCTGAATAAACCTAAAAGGCATCAGAAAAATATAGTTACTAAACAGTATTTATCTCTTACGGAAAGGTTCTTTGAAATAATACAAAGGGAATTAATTGATCCCATGTACGATACGTGTAGCGACAAAGGAAGCTTCAATCAAGAAAACGCACGCAGTGAACGCCAGACCTTTATACAATTGCAACAAAGGTTAATTTTTCATGGGAATTGGAAAGGGTTTCCATTAATTACCAAGGCTTAACATTTTCGAAAACGCTCACGGTTCGAATAACGGTTCTCAAACTGGTTTGAGAGTTAGAATATTTGAGTTTCTGTGTCACTTCCTTAATGGGAATGGAGACTTGTAAATTTGGCTTGGGACGTTAAAAGGTGGAAACATAGAACTTGAAATATACTTATAAATACCGGTACATTGTAAAATTCTGGACGGTTTTCGGTTAGGGATTGCCTTGTGAAACATATGAAAAATTGCTGATCGAGCAAATTCATTATTATCGTACCTGTATAATTGTCGAACGCGAACCGCATACTTTTAAAGCCTCCGTATATATCGCACTAACTCTTACAAGAGACGTTCAGTGAAATTAACAGACCGCTGCAATGAACATCATACAGGTGTCGTCTGCTGGAGCAGGTATACAAATCACAGACGGGAAGATGCTGGAACTGGAGAGTTTTGGGGAAAACACGGCCCGACTTGAGAAACAGGCAACAAATGCTTCACTTAAGTGTACACAAGTCAAACGAGAGGAGATTTTTGACGAAATATCTTTTAAGAAGAGAGGAGAACGAGTCACCATTAACGTTTCTGGCACCAGATATGTTACGACATGGCGTACGCTGGCCAAAGTTCCTAATTCACGCTTGGGTAAACTGACAGTGGACGACATAGATTCTGGAGAAAATGACATCTTCTTTGAGAGAAACCCGACCCTTTTCCCGTACATTCTTAGTTTCTATTCCACCGGCGAGCTTTCTTTTCCGCACAATATCTGCGGCGCGGCCATGTTGAAAGAGTTAGAATTCTGGCAGATATCAAGATGTGCGTTGGCCCCGTGTTGTAAAGAAATACTCCTGAAACAAGAGGCCAAGCAGCAGGAAAATGAGACACTAGCCAAAGCCTTTGGCCTGCTAGAGTCACAAGAAAACATCCGGTATCAGACAGCTTGTGGCCGTTGGAGAGCAAAACTTCGAATTTTCTTAGATGACCCGACGTCGTCTAAAGGGGCGAGGGTAAGTTTGCGAACGGGTGTTACGGGTCTGTTGTTACACGTTTTATGACATTTTTTATATTACAAGAAAACGAAAAATACAGTAGTTATGCATATACGTATATGATGCACACACACACACACACACACACACACACACACACATTTCCCTGCAACTCGCATGTGCATGAACGCATGCAAACACACACATGAAGGAAAAATTTAACTCCTACAACACGGTAGACCTGCATCATCCTTTATCAAAATGCACCTAAGACGATCGCGTATATGCTATATTTTGATAGCAAATGTGGACAAAATTTTAGACTGGAAATGAATAAATAAATAAATAAATAAATATATAAAAGTAAATAATGGAAAACGAAAAGGGGGGCTTAAGGTCACGTGTTTTAAAATAGAAACGTTTATAAATAGCTTAGTATCAATATGAATATTTAACATATATGCACCCTCTACCAGGACGGCAAATTGATTTGCTCAGAGATGGGTCTCCGGTTAATTAATGACGCAGTTCTCTACTGTCTAGGCACAGAAAAGTGCATTTAATTAGCCAGCAGAGATATATCAGCGAATATCTGGTGTAATCCATTTGTGGCTCTAGTAGAGAGTGTTTAACATACTTCAGTCGGTAACAACTCGATTAACTGTTCTCGTTACAGATTTGGCTGGTCCTTTACTTAATGTGCACAGTACTCATTTTCACCGTAGACGCCTTTGCTACAGTGAAGTCGCTGCGCATTCCCACATTTAACCCATCCATTTTTACCAGCGCCGCCAATCTTAGCAACAAGGAAACCATGTACCTTGCCACTTCGGAGCACATTTTGCCCATTGCTTTACGTTATGCTACTTATGTTTACTTCACTTTGGACATATTATTGAGAGTCATTTCTGCACAGAGCGCCAGACACTACTTTAAATCTCTCCTGAACATAGTCGATGTTGTCTGGGTTGTGGTCAATTGGTCCCTAATCGCTGTGAGCAATTTGTTAGGAGTAAAGTGGTTCTATATGTCGGCGTCAGAAGTACGGGTTTTCACTGGGCTGGTGATGGTTGTCATGCTGTTACGTATATTTCGGATCTACCGCTTTGGTCAACATTATATCCCACTGAGAGTTCTGCTGTTGACAATGAAAGGCAGCAGCACGGAAGTGGGGCTTCTCTTTCTTTTGCTGTGCACTGGAGCCATGGTGTTCGGGCCTCTCATCTACGTAGCGGAGCTTGGCAACGACAACTCGTTCATGTACAACATCCTGATTGGCTACTGGTGGGCCGTGGTTACCATGACGACGGTCGGATATGGCGACATCTATCCTGTGGATGTGCCAGGTTATTTTGTGGGAATTCTCTGCGTCATCGCCGGGTTGGGGTTTATCAGTCTCCCCATGTCAGTGATAAGCACTAATTTTAGCAAATATCGTGAATTTGCACGCACATTCGGAGCTCGGAAGAGAAGCGCGCCCTTTAATCCAGTCAAGGGCGATCAAATGGCAGAAAATGATGAAAAGCAAAACATTTAATGTAAAGGATATTTTGAAACATTCCACAAAATTTGACGTAACATGTACACATTGCTTGTTGAGTTGTGGATATATGTTTTTTTTTTCAATGTTCTGCTTAACCCGCCATAAATTTGATCGTATATATTTTATGAAATATTTTAGGATAAATACTCGGATATTATGTTGTTATATTCCCTCTACTGAGCACTTCGCTTTGGCATTCGGTTTACTAAGCGGATTGATTTTACATCTGATATAATTAAATGTTGATTTAAGCTGCATCATGTTGGATCCTAGATTGAAGTATGCTGTAATTATGTTTCCTTTTTTTCATTTATTAAGTGTTTATGTTTTAAGTGGGGGTGGGGGGATGGGGTGTTTTATTATTATTTATCTATTTTAAACAGTCGGCAAATAAAATGCACATAAACTCTTGGTCAATATAGGAATCACGTGTATTTTAAGAGGACTAAGTGGTAACCAATTGCAAGTAGACCATAAATGTTTTATGAACGATCTCTTATATCATTGCATTTTCTTTCTGATCAGTAAGTGGCTCCAGTTATGTTTTGCAAGATAAGAAATCGTTTCGTGAATTTGGGATGATTTTGCGTTTGGAAGATAAAAAAATTAACCGTTGACTATTGGCCTTCTTTAGTCCAACTATAGCGCCACGTCAACGTTTAAAAATAAATTTTCTGATACATAAATACTCTGTTGCTCCCCCTTCTCTCTTACACAATAACCTTTATTTAATTCGTGGTGGTTTCTAACTTTATTTTGCTAATAAATGGAAATATAACTTGAGCGGAAAATAGTTATAGAAGAAAAAAACGAAATTCAACAGATAAAAATACTGAATTATTTCAGATTTAGTGTTAGTCCCTTGTAAAAATCAATGCACTATCAGTTACGAACCTGGGGATATATGCGAATTGGTGGATCCAAGCAAAGGGGCATAGTGAAACACGCCCCCCTTCCCTGCCCAGAAAGAACCCCTCTCCCCCCCCCTACCAAAATAAATAAATAAATAAATAAATAAGCAAAACAGCGAGGCAAAACGACTTGAAAAATTGACTTCAACTGTCATTTTAGAACTCGAGACAAGGTAACCGTTTTTAACTTCGCCCCCTCCACCCCTGCGTTCCACCCTCACCCCAGCAATATCGATTTTGGATCCACCAAAAGCCACCGTAGCTATCCTGTAACGTTGCTCACTTCCGCTAAACGTACTGACATGGCCGTAAATCAGACTCTCTGGGTGAAATAAACAGTTAATTTTTCATGGTTGTTGCGAAAAACAAGGATCGGAATGTCGAGTTTAGATGAGTAACTATATAAACCTTTTTCATTCTATTGACTCAAGGTACGGGAATATTATTCTATCGCTTTTCACAGCCGACATCTTCCAGTCGTCGGCTCATCAGTTCTTTTGAACAAATTTAATAATGAAATACAATTGACATCGCAGGTACGTGTAATAACTAATTCATTATGTATTAAGAGAAATTTCAATTAATACATGTATAACAGGCAGACTTAACATCCAACTGCAACAGTTGCAATTAGTATTATCATAATAGTGGCCTATATGCAATAGGGTGTCGCTTCATTGATAAAACCCGAGGGGTGTTTCTTTCTTTTATCTCTATCATCCCCCTTTTCCGAATTGCTTTTGATACAATGTCAACGACCTCGTTGTTATTCTTCACGCATTTGCCGTGTAGCTTATCTGTAGAACGTTTGGACGAAGTGGCATCACAGAATTTTTTAACCATTTAACCTCAATGTTTGTAAAAAATAAGCAGACATCGGAGATTCATAGCCCTGTGGTAATAAACTGTATTCCCCAGTCAGGCCCGTAGCCAGCAATTTCGAAAGGGGGGTTCTTTTTCTGAAAAAGTGGACCTTTTACCATATAATCCCCATGTACAGTATATAGGTCAAATTTTACCAAGAGTGGACCTTTTTCCAGCAAAAAGGGGGGTTCCTTCGAACCCCCCGAACCCCCCAGGCTACGGGCCTGCCCTCTTGTTACCAGTTTACTCGTGTAATAACCGGCTTTTGTGTATTCTAGAAGTGGCAGGTTAATCTGTTGATCTGCTAAGCTGCACTCAGCGAGAATCACTGCCGAGTTGGGTCGATCCACGTAGATCGATGGTGTCTGTGGGAAGGGGCCTATAATACGGCATGAATTAACGATATAAACCTATACNCCCCCCCCCCCGGCTACGGGCCTGCCAGTTAAACGAGTAATCCGCATGTTTGCGTGCACTCCTTGCATTAAGTAAGAATTATCATATATTACCATAATACTAATTATAATTTTATATCCATAACAATTAAGGATAAAACATAATATATCCGATAATGTCATCCTTGAACATATAATTGGCAAGCGACGTCAACGGCGTTATTTTTCACCAATTAAAGAAGAGGGAACAAGTCAGTGCTGTTTATATTGTTTATTTAAATAAGACTGCGCGACAGTGTCGGATGACGTCGATCTTGCAACTTTAAGTGATAATAACTCTTCGTTTCGGCCAAAATATGAATTTTCCTGGAGTAAACAACAATTTTCCCATACTTACCAATGGTTAATGAATCCATTTTTACATTCAAAGTTAGGCCCTGGTTTTTTTTCTAAAAAGTTTGGTTTTTTGTTAAAATCTCTTAAGAGATTTTAACAGAGTATAGCCATCAATGGAGGTCACGTGGTCTAAAGACAAGCTCAGATATCAGAATAATAGCTATAACAGCCATTTTTTGTGGGAAAACAGAATATATTATTTTTTTATGAGTCATTCACAATGTTTTTATTGTGAAATACAGATTTCATACGAAGAGTTATTATCCCTTTAAGTGTTGCCTTGGGGGACATATGCACTCAAATTATGAAATGCATATGTACCACTCAAGATATGAAATGCATATACCAATAATTGGTACATATGCATTTCATATTTTGAGTGTATATACATGTATTTCCCAAATGAATTATATTTATTTGCTTTTGAACAATTTGGTGATTATGCAAACCTTCTGAAGATGTACCTCGGTTGATTTTACTTTTCAGACGTCATCAAATAACATTTCAACCTTGTCCTATGTCTGTAGTTCTATATAAAAAATCCGTAACCGGTTAAAATACTGCGTATATAAAAACATATACATGAATATAAAAAAGTCCATTTTGACTGTGTCCGATATATAAATGTGAAATCATAATTCATATTAAAATATTTAACATTATTTACAAAAGAAATTTCAGTTAAAAAATGAAAACTTTTAAGTCACACTGGCTCTCAAAATATATCTTGTAGACTTGGCAATAACCAGGCTGTTTGTATCATGCCAACATTGGTTTTAGACAGGCCGTTTACATCATGCCGATTTGTGTATTCTCCTCATTTTTTTCCTTTTCAAAGAACATGAAATCCTAAAAAACAAACATGCAAATTGATTTTTCTACGCCTTCGAACATTTTCATTGCATGTGAAAGTGCAAGAGTAAAAAGACGAAGAAAGACGATATTTTTGTATTAACTTTAAAACTAAACTGACAATACTGGAAGAAAAAATGATAGATACATGTATTTCAAATGGTGAATACCATGCAGTGTTTTTGCAGAGAAAGGTTGTACAACAAGCAAAATATCCGAGCCTGATAGAACCTGTGAGGGAAATTGCTCATTGGGGAAAAATCAGAGGAAGAAAAATATTAAATCTAAAATTAATAAACCTGCATAACATCGCCTCAAGTAAAATCACTATGTAACGTTGACGGGGAAGTTGTTTTGGTTTAAAAGACTATACCAGTATTTGCACCTTCTGACTATTTTTAATTCAAAGTTACTATTTTGCCGTTGATGCCAACATCGACGGATACAAATTTTCCCTATGGCATTAAAACGAGGGGCAAAATGCCTCCAAGCTTCCAAGCAGACTATATTTGTCCAAAATACTTTTGAATCGCATGTGTATTTTAGTCTAAAGGCTTAGTCTAGCTGGCGGATCCAGGATTTCGCTAGTGGGAGAGCAAGGATAAAAAGATTTTCATCGTTCCATTAAACAGATCAACTCGAAAAAATTTACTATTATATTCAGGGCAAGGGAATGGCAACAGGGGGTTAAGGGGTAGGCCTTATTTCAAAATCAAATTGGAATGGCCTCTTCTGGATACGTCATTGAGCAAACAACCCTCCTCTGATCAACACTGGCGCCATCTTTCGTACTCACAATGAGGAACACAGCTCCCAGCATGCAAGCTTTCATCTTGACGTCCAGATCCATGGGGAATGAAACACCAAAATTATCAGCGTCTGTAAACAACTCCTTTACAAGTCCCGACCATTGCTTGGAGACCTGGCCAACCTGGCGTTCACCGTCCGCGGATTTTACCTGTTTGCATAAAAATAACGATTATACGTGTTGTAAGGCTCTTTAGAAATTCCATAGAAAAAAAAATTATCAAACAATTGAAAATTGAAAATATTTCAAATTCAAAAACGAAAAAAAAGAAAAGAAAAATAATACAAATTAAGCAGTAAGATAAAGATTAAATATTACCAGGACATAATTTTCATATGAACCATTAAAAAATTTGAAACGATGAACATGAACTTTAACCAAGGTCCCCGCATCCTGAAGATATACTAACTGTTAGTACATGTATTTGAAAATAATTATCAATCGAAATTTTATTCTTTAAAGAGGATGTGCTCCGACTGCCCATCGGATGTTTTTTTTTTTAATTTTCAAAATAAACTACAGTAGTTGAGAGTCGGCAAAGTTGTCACTTACGTCAAAAATGACGTCACCACAGGCGCTGCAAGGGACGCAGGGGCCCTCAATTCTCAATACGGTGTCGCCCTCCGCGTTGCAAATGGCGAATTTTGGCACACAGACACTCCAGGATTGTTTGACATAGCCTATGACTTGCCCTACTGGAGCCTCTACCGTCACTTCCTGGAACAATAATAATAATAATAGTAATAATAATAATACTTACTGTCTGTCATAATTTATTTTACTTAATTAATTTAATTAATTCTTTTTTTTTAATGATGGATTTCTCAGGATGCATTCATAACATTGATCTCGGTACTGTTTTTGAATCGAGTACGTCACAAGAGTTAATTCTTCACTAGTCTAAGTAACATGTCAAGAACGAATTACAGGTATTTTCAAGAGTGGTTTTAGAATGAGCGAAATCTAAAGAGAACAAAACAAAGACATAGAGAAAGAACAGAACGAAAGAATTAAAATTGCAGGAAGTACAATATATCGAAACGTCAATACCTCGAAACAAATAAGGAACCAAACATTGAATAGTTGGTAATTGCAATACTTTAATGTTTTTTGAATGAGAAAAAAAAATTAAAAGCACAGATGATGGTCGATACCTGTAAACAACAAGGGAACCAGCAAGTATCACAGCGAAGTGGGCGTGACAGGTGAATAACCTCGTGACCTTGGGGAGTCATGATCTGAATGTCAAACGGTCTCTCTTTACCACAGCAGTTACGCGTACAGCAACACGTGTCTGAGGGGGAAATGTAAATTCAATATAAAAAATTAACAAATATGATTATCAAAAATAAATATATTTAACAAGTGAAAATCATATGATGGCCACGTGCTAAAATGAGTTTTTTATTAATCGATTGATTATTATTATTATCATTATTATTCAAAAAGACTGCCAGCTAGCGTCATACTCCACATCCCATTTGGAATGTTTCAATAAATTCAATCTCGCATGCAGACATGGCAAGCGAAGCGAAACGAACTTTCTCCGCCCATTGTTTTTCTTCCAATAAACCGTAAAGCCCCCACCCAACCATTCACCCACACCCCTATCCACGCCCCAAAGTCCCGGATAGCTCACCTTCAGCGGCGAAATACACCCTCTGTCCCATGCTGTTCTTGACTTCGTATTTGTTGTTGGTTTCATAATCAGTGAAGGCTACAACAAAGAAACACGTTTTACTGTGAAGAACATAACATCAGACACAATGTGTACTGTACGACGTACAGGCAATGGCAAATTAATGATCATAATCATAACTAATGCACTCCCAATTTCAAGTTGTTTTTCATATATCTATGGTAGACAATACGGATACGATCAGCAATGAACAAAATCAATTTACGGCAGTAGAGGTTTTTACGCTGCCTTTTATATAAAGATTTCAAAAATTGAGATTGTTTCTAAACAAACTAACCATCGAACATACTCTCTTAGGTAAGAGGAGCTTAAACCTCTATTAGGCCTACCGGATATATAAACATAGGCTTATCCACACAGTCTTTTTCAAATACCACTACAATATAACTGAGGGGATGCAATTTGTCACACTTAACGCAATCATAACCACAATGGCGCAGGATTATACCCTCCAGTAGCTCCACCTGCTGGTGAAGTAGAAGGTGGTCTATCATGCTCAGATAACCCATGACGTCACTAACTTACCCTCCAGTATCTCCACCTGCTGGTGAACTAGAAGCTGGTCTATCATACTCAGATACTCCAGTCCCGGGGGACAACCTTGTGGGACGGCAGGCTGGGGCATCCATTGAACTCCTCCACCTAAAATATATATACATGTACATCCAATATGACTGTAATACTCTAAACATATGAAAGGTGAATTGATACATTTATGGATGGCTCTATACGCTTTCTTTCGATTCACAAAAAATCTAAATGTACCGTTATACGTATTGAATACATGCATTGTAAGAGGCGGTGAAGATCACCGTGAACCTTCACTCAAGATGCACTGAAAACGTCAAGGACCAAGAATGCAGAATAATTCAGTCTTTAGCAATCAGACTGATAATTAAGCCGGAAATGTATCTACTGGGTACGTGTTTGTTGGTATTGTATAGAAAAATGTATAGATTAGGACACAAATATCACCTTATAATTTTTCTATTATTTCAGCGTCTACATATCCGTGTCTACATAGACATTTAGGTCTTTAAGGTCATCATTGACCTAAATATCTGTATTTACATACACTGGACAATAGAAGTGTCACCTCTACTGAACCAATACTTTAGAATGATTAATGACTGTGGAATGATATGCTCGTGGTATCATTTTATTAACATCAAATTTAACAATTTTACATGTAAGTAGACCAGGCATTATAACTTTGACCCCAGTCCCAGAGATTACATCGATCCAAACTAGATCGACCTAACTCCCTGGGGGTTCACGCTAAATAGCTGTCAGCCAAGCGGGCACGAAAGTTAATTACCCCCTTAAGCTCTTAAGCTTGTAGTAGGCGGGACGGACATTTAAGCCGGATTATCTGACAGTAATCTAGTGAGAGTCCATACGGAGATATATCGATCTAAAATCTATGGGAATACTCCCTTTGATTACTCTGACTCAGAGGGAGACAATGCTTTTGTCCAGTGTGTAGGTCATGGAGTTTACTAACCTGGGACCGGTTGCATTCCCGGCTGCATCATCATTGGCTGTGCATTCATCATGATGCTATCTGGAACACGAGAGGATTCTATGAAATTATGATCGCATTCACAACGAGTTGAGCCAGGCTTTACAAATCCTGGGGACTAAATATGGCAGACGTACATGAAAGAAAAACCGCCCAATCTTTTAATTGTTTCTCCGCCTCTCACACGCCTCCCCACGCGTCTTCCCTGCGGGGGTACAGTCATTAAATTTCGGCTCCATTGGGACGACACATGGAGAGGCGTGTGAGAGGCGGAGAGACTATTAAAAAGTTAGGCGATTTTTCTTTCATGCACGTCCGCCATATTTAGTCCCCAGGATTTGTAAAGCCTGGCTCAATTCGTTGTGAATGCTGTCTATGATTCAAATTGATTTTAAGTCACGTGGATAACATTATTTTGTATGCTCCCTTTCAATGCTAAGAAAACCTAAACAAAACATTATTATTATTATTATTATTAATAAATGGCTAAAATACTTCTTGAAAAAGAAAATAAGAGTATGTGGAATTAGCTTTTTCTCAGTGGACTGTCAGGGATTGGAGATGATAAAATGTGGACCTTCACGAAAGGTTGATTAAAAACACTTCATGTGACTAGTAGGCCTAATCCCTCTTTGGGCAAAACGCTATCGATATCTCTAGTGAAATTTAGGAAAATCCTAATGCAACCCCAGAAGAAATCCTATGCCAACGATTATTTAAAAAAATAAAAAATGAAAAAAAAATGAAAAAATATATTTTCAATAATAGATAGTTTGAAAATGGTACCCTCTACCAGGGACGCAGATTAATTTCTCTAACGCAAGAAGTGTACTGAATAAACCAGTGACATATCTGAGTATATCTAGTGATAGATAAATCTGTGGCCCTGATAGAGGGTAAAAAATGGGGCATGTTACATAAATGATATTGTAGACTATGTAAATCACGATGGAAATCTCCTCTCTCTGGAAGAACTTAGCAAAAAATTCAAACTTTAAGCTAACTTCATCGACTACTACAGTATCCAAAAGGAGCATACCATCTGAATGGCATAAAACTATCTCTACTCATGGAAGAAAATTACACACCGTACACGTATCCCATTAAATAAATTGCTCGATTAAAAGTGACCAAACCATCCGATTATGTTTACGATAAGAAGAAACAGATGACAGGAAACTGCTGACACTCCAATTCAAGCTAGATATTAGAATATTCAGTAGTAATGTTTATCTTATGAATGCCCCCCCCCCCCCCCCAAAAAAAAAAAAAAAAAAAGTTCAGAACCGTGTGAACTTTGCAGTACTGCTAGGGAAACTATTTTTCAGGTTTCTGGGGGATTGCCCACAAGTATAAAACAATAGGACGTGTGTCATTTGCTCCGTAAAATATAATTTAGGTGGGGTCATTGGGAGATCTTTTTTATATTCGGGCCTGTGCAAACATACAAGTATGATATAGAAAGTCTTTACTTACTTATCTTCACAATCAATAAATACGTAAATTTATATAGAACAAGAACATAAATCCCAACATGGGAGGGAACTAGACAATTTATTAAATATTACAGAAATATATTTTTATTTACAACAACAATTTATTTATTTTGCTGAGCACGTACTGCATCCACACCTTAGACCAGCCAGTATCTATAAATTCATATTTTGGACACCCCCTGGGGGAGAGGCTAAAAGAGGCAGAGACCAAATGTAACTTACTCTGGCACTATCACGAATGATGCAGGGCTACAAACAAGTGAGATTCATGCAGTAATGAGACAGAAACAACATTGGTCGGAACATGGAGCTCTAATTTTGCCCAAGGACAAAGGATGATGATCCAATGATAACACATCCTATGATATATCAGTTATAAGACAAAAAATGCACGGTACACCTTTATAAAGCAAAAAAAAAAGTGTGAAGTTCAACAATTTGCCCTTTTTTGCCAAAGTGTACCTGCAGCCGAATACTGTTGGAATAATTTTAATTTATAAATCATTTTCAAAGGGAGAGGAAAGGGAATGGAGAAGTGGATGCCTCAGAAGCCGAGAGGGAGGGACGCCTACCCGCTCTCCATGCGACGCGCACATTAGCACCTATTGCTTTTCTGTCCTTTTCACATGCACTAGGAAATCATACATTCATACGAGTTCGGCTAAGCGTAACGTAT